GCTGGTCTCAAATTCCCGACCTGAGGTGATTCCCCTGCCTCAGCCTCCCAAAGTGCTGGGATTACAGGTGTGAGCCACTGCCCCCGGCCCTGCAGGGGGGTCAGGATGGATGATATCACCATCAGCCGCATATGTGCACAGAAGGCAGAAGGGAGGCCCTAGATCCTCTCTGGTCTCAGCTTCTTCATCTACAAACAGACTGAGCCCCAAGGGCCTTCACTGCAGCCTTTGGGTGATATGGGTCAACTCCTGGCCCTTCTGTGGGTGACAATGTCATCAGCTCTGAGCAGACAGGGTCCTTGCTGCTGCCACCCACAGGCCTGAGGAGTGTTAGCACATCCAGCCTGGTGCCCTGGACTTTCTAAGGAACCACAGGGCAGGCCCAGAGAACTCAGAAAACCTTTCACTCCCTTCCCTCCCGCTGGGTCCTCCCAAGGTCACAGACTCAGATGCCAGCAGAGGCCTGCCAGACTGGGCACAGTGCCCATCACACAGGCAGTGGAGTCTCTGTGTGGTCAGCTGTTGCCCATAGGGAATAAAGAATGTATTGCCAGATTGAAGAAACCGGAGGCTGGGCATGGTGGCTCATGCCCGTAATTCCAGCATTTTGGGAGGCTGAGGTGGGTGGACCAGGAGGTCGAGACCATCCTGGCTAACAGGTGAAACCCTGTCGTGGTGGCATGCACCTGTAGTCCCAGCAATTCAGGACGATCAGGCAGGCAAATCGCTTGAACTCAGGAGGCAGAGGTTGCAGTGAGCTGAGATCGCACCACCATGCTCCAGCCTGGGCAACAGAGCGAGACTCTGTCTCAAATAAAAAAAAAAAAAAAAAAAACAAGGAACTGGAAATCTGTATTTTTACATAAAATCTTTCTATTTAAAATAAAAGCCCTTCTGCCCTTCCTCCAAAATATAAAAAGAGTAAAATAAAAAATAAAATAGGGGCAATTTATTCAAAATTCCCCATGCCAAATGTTTTTGTTTAAACTGCGCAAGTTAAATCCTACCTGCAGCCTGAATCCAGCCCAGCTTATGACGAAGAATTGTGCATCCCCCCCAGCAGGGGGCTTCAGGGGTCAGATAATTTTGTTTTGAAGACATGGTAGGCTGGGCACAGTGGCTCATACCTGTAATCCCAGCACTTTGGGAGGCCGAGGCAGGAGGATCGCTTGAGTTCAGGAGTTTGAGACCAGCCTGGGCAATATAGCGAAACCCCGTCTCTACCAAAAAAGACGAAAATTAGCCAGGTATGGTGGTGCACACCTATGGTCCCAGCTACTCAAGAAGCTGAGGGAGGAGGATTGCCTGAGCCCACAAGGCCGAGGCTGCAGTGAGCCATGATCGTGCCACTGCATTCTAGCCTGGGTGACAGAGCAAGACCCCGTCTCAAAATTAAAATAAAAAAGGAAAAAGGGTCTTGGTAGAGTACAGTGGCACAATCATGGCTCACTGCAGCTCTGACTCCTGGGCTCAAGTGAGCCTCCCACTTCAGCCTCCCAAGGAGCTGGGACCACAGGTGTGCTACCACGGCATTTATTTTTGAATTTTTTGTACAGATGGGGGGCATCTCCCTATATTGCCCAGGCTGGTCTTGAACTCCTGGCCTCAAGCGATCCTCCCACCTGGCCTCCCAAAGTGCTGGGATTACAGGTGTAGGTGAATATGCTTGGCCAGGGGCCAGATGCTGGCAAAGACTGTCCCTCTGTCCTTAGGGAGCTCCAGGCAGAGCGGGATCCTCCCTCCTTCATGTAGAACACCTGGAGACTGTTTCCAGAAAGCCAGTACTGTGGGGCTTGAACCTCGTCTCCTCCGCTCTCTCCCCATCCTGCTCACACCTCCAGGCCTGTCCTGGAAGCTCCTTTCTCCTCCTGGAGTCTGTGAGCAGCTCCCGCGCCTGCACTGCACTGCTTTGCTGGAAAGTCACCTTCTCATGAGGCCCACCCAGACCCTCCCATTCAAAAAGAGGACCTGGAACTGCAGCCTCTCGGGCATGCTCTGCCCCTGACACTCCGCATCCTCCACGAGCCCTCCCCTCCTCATGCACTCTGTAACCCACCAGGAGAACCTCACAGACAAGCCAACGGGCACCTGCGGCTCCCACCGGCCAGGGAGGCAGAAACAGATTCTCCCTCACAGCCTGGACCCTGGACCCTGGCCTCCGAACTGTGAGGTAATGCAGCTCGGCTTTTTTGTTTGTTTTTTGAGACAGTCTGGCTCTGTCTCACTGCAGTGCAGGCTGGAGTACAGTGGTGCGATCTCGGCTCACTGCAACCTCTGCCTCCCGGATTCAAGCGATTCTCCTGCCTCAGCCTCCTGAGTAGCTGGGACTACAGATGCCCGCTACCATGCCCAGCTAATTTTTGTATTTTTAGTAGAGACAGGGTTTCACCACATTGGCCTGGATGGTCTCCAACTCCTGACCTTGTGATCCACACACCTTAGCCTCCCAAAGTACTGGGATTACAGGCGTGAGCCACCGTGTGAGGCCACGTCTCAGTTGTTTAAGCTCTGGATTCTGGATGATGGGGTGCAAAAGGGAGGTTGTCCCAGTCCTCTGCCTGGCTCCAGAACAGTAGGCGCTCAGGTGCTCTGGAACTGGGAACTGGAGGGGAAGGATTTGGGAGGAACCTACATTGTCCTTGAGGCACTGGGTAGGTAGTTTGGGTATTGTCTTTTTTTTTTTTTTTTTGGAGACAAAGTCTCACTCTGTTGTCCAGGCTGGAGTGCACTGGCCCCATCTCAGCTCACTGCAACCTCTATCTCTAGGGTTCAAGGGATTCGCCTGCCTGAGCCTCTGAGTAGCTGGGATTACAGGCACCTACCACCACACCCAACTAATTTTTGTATTTTCAGTAGACATGGGGGTTTCACTATGTTGGCCAAGCTGGTCACCGCAACCTCCGCCTCCTGGGTTCAGGCAATTCTCCTGCCTCAGCCTCCTGAGTAGCTGGGACTACAGGTGTGCACCACCATGCCCAGCTAATTTTTTGTATTTTTAGTGGAGACGGGGTTCCACCATGTTGACCAGGATGGTCTCCAACTCCTGACCTCACAGGATCCATCCGCCTCAGCCTCCCAAAGTGCTAGGATTACAGGCAGGAGCCACCACGCCCAGCCCAGTACTGTCTTTCTAGGTGAACGCTGGGTCCCAAAAGGCCAGAACTGCTGCAGAGGGGTGGTCTGCACACAGCGTTCCAGCCACCTGCCCACTTCCCCAGACCCAGGATCACCCCGTTCTCAGCCCTCCCTCTCACCTGTTCCCTCACCCACCCACACAGGGGTGCCTGGTCAGCGTCCTGCATTCACCGTTTCCTGTGACCTGGTCCTAATCGGATTCCCCAGGCTCATTCCAGATTAGCCCACTTCAGCGCCTGGGGCTCCCTACATCAGCCATCTGTGTGGGGCACTTCTAAGAAGCCTGGACCAGGGGTCCTTGACTCCCCTTCTCCATGATGGGTTTGCAGGGAGGCAATGTAAGGGTTCACGGATGGTCACAAAGACTCACAAAAACTGGCAGCCCAAGGCCAAAACAGCCGACAGGTGCAGCTCCTTAGACCCTCAGCAGGTGCTGTCACTTCAGGACTCATGACACCCAAAAAATGTAACTCAGCACATCAACTGCAGGCTAAACAAGTGGAAATTCTAACCGCAAGAGACTGAATTCCCACCTGATGAGCACTGGCCCAGAGGCCTGCCAGGGAGGGCTGGCTCCAGCTCCAAAGTCCCTACACATCCCACAGCCTCCATCCGAGCCGGCAGGGTGACATCCACAACACGCCCCACCCCATCACCAGGTGCTGGATTTCTGACCCCTGCCTCACTCGGCACTTTAAAAAGGGAAGGCACATGCCCACCTCGCCTGACCCGATCCGCAAAAATCCCAGACCTTGTTTGTCATCTGAGCAAACTGGGGGAGTCTAAAAAGGGAGAGGGGACTGTCCCAGATCACGCAGCTGGCAGTATCAGGAAGCCAGGCTGTTTCACCCAACTTAGCACATTTTCCATCTGACGACTCGATCTCCCTCCAGCTGTTCCCTCACCCTGGAAGAGCTGCTTCCTAGACTCCCCCTCTGGAGCAGCTGCCACCATGGGTCTCTTCCACGGCCTGTGCATTTCCTTCGTTACATCTAGAGAATGTCTCACCACTTATGTACCTGTTCACCTGTTTTATCTCTTCCCAGAACTGAGGCCCCTGCCAGGACTCCTCTTTGCCCAACTCCAGGGGGGCGCCATTTCCCTCACTGTGAGCAGCAGCCCCAGGAGTTGTGATGCTGGAGGCCCCACCGAGAGAGGAACACTCTGCTCCTGCTCACTGCAGCCTCGCTGAGCCGGGCATGTAGCGAACCCTTAGAAAAGATTTCCTGAGCCAGGCACAGTGGCTTACACTTACAGTCCCAGCTACTCAGGAGGCTGGGGTGGGAGGATCTCTTGAGCCTGGGAGGTGAAGGCTGCAGTGAGTCATAATGGTGCCATTGCACTCCAGCCTAGGTGACAGTGAGACCCTTGTCTCAAAAAAAAAAAAAAAAAAAAAGCAAAGGAAAGGAAACAGGAAGAAATTGCCTAGGTAAAAAGCAAAGTACAGAAATTGCTTGTGCCAAAAGCTGCTCTGAAGTCGACATACCAGCTCCACCTCTCCATTGTGAAAAGCCTCTCCCAAGTCACTTGACCCCTGGGATGTCCTCACAACCTGCCACTGGTGCTGGGCACCCATCCCAGGTCCAGCAGAGCATGGCCACAATTCAGCAACATTTAGTCCAAGACACCTGACCAGACCCTCCCAGAGCGTGGCTTTCTGGGATGGGCGGTAGCTGTATGACCTCGCTTACCAGTTGCTTAGCAGTGCCGAGCCTCAGTTTCTCCTGCTGTAAACGGGATGAGGATGAGGCAGGAGGGGGATTCAGCAAGACGCTGTTTGCAAAATGCTTAGTATCCTGCCTGCAAGTCCTTGACATCCTCAGTAAGAAGAGTAACAAATATACAATGGACAGCGAGTCCCTTACCTGTGGCCACCTTCGTGGTTCCTCTCTGCAGGAGGAGCTCGCCACACTTCTCACTCACGTGGCTATTGTTCTTCAGGAACCTGCGGGAGACAGACGGATGCTGGGTGCCTCAGGCTGATAAAAAGGAGGTCAGATTAAAAAGGAGCGGAGGGCCAGGTTCGGCGGCTCACACCTGTAATCCCAGCACTGTGGGAAGCTGAGGTGGACAGATCACCTGAGGTCAGGAGTTTGAGACCAGCCTGGCCAACATGGTGAAACCCCATCTCTATTAAAAATATAAAAATTAGCCGGGTATGATGGTGTGTGCCTGTAATTGCAGCTACTTGGGAGGCTGAGGCATGAGAATCACTTGAACCCAGGAGGCAGAGGTTACAGTGAGCCGAGATCGTGCCACTGCACTCTAGCCTGGGGAATAGAGCGAAACTTGGTCTCAAAAAAAAAAAGAGAGCAGAGCAGCAAAAGGGAGGTCACCCACAAAGGATACACGGGTCCTGTGTTTGTTTTTATTTTTTGAGATGGAGTTGGCTCTTGCTACCCAGGCTGGAGTACAGTGGCGTGATCACGGCTCTCTGCAGCCTCTACCTCCCTGGGCTGAGCAATCCTCCCACCTAAGGCTCCTAAGTAGCTGAGATCACAGGCCTGTGCCACTATGACCTGCTAATTTTTGTTTTGTTTTGGTTTGGTTTAAGATACAGGGTCTCACTATGTTGCTCAGGCTGGTCTCCAACTCCTGGGCTCAAGCTGTCTTCCTGCTTCAGCTTCCCAATGTGCTGGGATTACAGGTATAAGCCACTGCACCTGGCCTGTGTCCCGTGTTTCAGTGGCACATTTGCAGGGGCTGTGTGTGTGTGTTTATGGTAAGGCAGTGGGGTGCTTCTACTCCTTTAAGCAACAAGTGTTTATGGAGCTCTGACCTACCAGGGCCACCGCCAGATGCGGGGGGTACAACATGGCCAAGTCAGCCACAGTGGGGATTGCGGGGCTCACAGCCTCAGGACAGCAGGGCAGTCAGCAGGCTCTTATTGGACAGTGTGGTACCTGTAGGGCAGGGAGGGGCCGCTCACCTGGGGGTGTCAGAGCAGGCTTCCCAGCTGAGGCCCCAAGGATTGGGATAGCCAGTGAGCAAGGGCAGGGGAGAATTCCAAGTAAGGGAGAGAAGGTGTGGAAGCAGCGTGTGCTTGGGGAGGGGTGGGTGGCGAGGGGTGCAGGGAGGGTGTTGGAAGTAAAGGGCATGGTTGCAACAGGGGCAGAGGGAAAGGCGGATGTGTTCCTGAAGACCCTGGGAAGCCTGGTGCTCAGTGTGACCCCAGGGAGAAACAGGCTTGTTGGGCAAGAGGGAGAAGGAAGCTTCCCCACGTCTCACGGGTTGTTCTCCCTGGACCCTGTGACTCTGCGCCTCGCTCCCTGCCCACACTGGACACTCACCCCTGCAGCATCTCCTCCGGGCTGACCACGTGCAAGGGCTTCTGGGAGGCCTCTACCTGCAGCGTGTGCTCTATGGCTCTTCGCTTGTAGGTCAGCAAATTCTCCACTTCCTAAGGAGGCCAGTTGCCTGGGTGAGCAGGGCTCTGGGCCGCAGACGAGGCCCCACCCTTCCAGCCCTACCCTGTACTCTCAGCTGAGCCCCTCGGCAAAGGGGGACACAGACCCAGCCCCGGCTAGTCAGCCCCAAGATTCTGAACAAGTCCTCCTCTTCGTCTCTCACAGCCGGCCTGGCCCTGCCCGTGGCCAGGGACAGTTGAGAATCGGGTGGGATGACGGAGAGGAAGGGGAATCTCTGTCAACTGCCAAGTGCTTTGCAAAGGCCTGAAATTAGGGTCCAGAGGCCATGGACCATCTGGGATTGTCGATTTCATCTGCTTCAACAAATGCCATCATTCTCAATGGCAGGAGTGCAGTCCTGGAGCTGCCAAGCTCCCCCACCACACGTGGCTCACTCTGTGAGGACAGCCAAGGGCTCGCAGCCTGGGGGTGCCGGAGTTGGGGGGAAACTCCCATCCACCCACCCCTGAGAATGGAGGACAGGAGGACCAAATGCCCCCTTTGACTCACCCAGGAGGAAGCCCTAGGGGTACTACGCTTGTTAATTCAGTTGGTGAAACGGACAAAGAAGGGAGTGTCCGCTGCCTGCCATCTGTGCATTGGGTCCTTACAATGGCCTCTGAGCTTGCCGAGCTCTTGGAGGGAACACTGACTGAGCCCTTACTAGGTGCCAGGACTGGGGAAATGGTGACAAAGAGACAGACGTCATTCTTGCTCTTATGGGATCTGTGGTCATTCTATGGACAAGAAAACTGAAACTGAAGAGAGTTGTGTCACAATCAGGAGACTGAGCCCTGGGCAAGAAAGTGACAGGATGTCAGAGTTGGCCAGGTCATTGAGTCCAACCTCATTTTACAGGTGAGGGAACTAAGGCCCAGAGAGGCAAAGTAACTTGCCAAGGGTCACCCAGCAGGTAAACAACCAAGCCAGGACTCGGGTTCAGGGACAGTACTGATAACTGGTAGTGGTGGCAGAGGGGTCAGTACTTGTCCCATCAGTCCACACTTAGGGCTGTCATGTGTGCTTGTGCAACGTGTACACAGTGCAAAGGCATGCGACTGGGTGTGACTGCACAGTTGTGTGGCCTAGAGTGTCCTTCACCCACGGCTCCTGCCCTCTTCCACCACTGCCACTGCATGACCAGCCTGGCATTCCGCAGCTCCCAGGCCACACGGTTTCCAGGGGGTCCCCCGCAACCCTTCTCCTGACCACTCCTAGGGGTCTAAGCAGCAAAAGGCTGTCCTCTGTTGGGAGGCAAGTCCCTGACTCCCCTTTCCCCCCTCTGCCATCTCCTCCTGCTTCCCTAGTGTCCACCAAAGGAGACAGGGCTGAGAGGACTGCCCGGGGCCCAGGTCTTCCCCCGACTGACTACATGCATGAAAGCCCAGCTTCTCACATGAAAGTCCAGGACAAATGGTGACGACTCCAGCAAGATGAGTTTATCTACCATCTCCGGAAAGGTACAGGAAAACTGAGAGGACGCCAGAAGGGGAGAATGAGTGGGGGAAAGAAGCAAAGGCCACTCCCTGCTTTCCCTGAGGACCCTGGTGCTTCCTGAAACATCTTTTAGGCTGGGGGAGGGTGCTGACCAAGAGATCAGAAGGAGAATCTTCTATCCCATGGTGTGCCTTCCCCCACCCCCCAGCTCTGCACCCAGCACTGAGCTCCAGACCCTGGCCGGACTCCAGGGTGCTCTGGGACAGGGTATGGGGCTGGAAGCATTAACTCCACCAGGAGTCCCCACCGTTTACACCAACTTCCTAGTATAACTATCACTGAGACCAGAGGAGGCACTTCCTGGGAGACACTTCCCGGGTACCTTCCCCTTTCTTCTCTGCACTCCCCACCCCACTCAAGGGACCTCCAATTGACCAAAGCCATCTACTTACCATCCCGGCCACGAAGCCACCTGGGGGACAACAGAGCCGTGGGTGACGTTCCCTCCCTCCCCAGCTGCAAACCCTCAAGCTTCTTCCCAGTTCCCTCCTTCCCTCCCCAGCTGCAAACCCTAACCTAAAGCTTCTTCCCAATTCCCTCCTTCCCTCCCCAGCTGCAAACCCTAACCTAAAGCTTCTTCCCAATTCCCTCCCTCCCTCCCCAGCTGCAAACCCTAAAGCTTCCCACCCGGTGGCAGGGACAGGGAGCTCCATATGGGTGACTGGAGGCTCAGTATCGGAGCCCTGATGGCCTCTTCATCTTATTTCCCTCATCCATGTGTCCCTTGCCTGAGGTCAGAGGGCACACAATCTCTGACTGACACTCTCCTCTCTTTGCAGTTCTCAGTTCAGGGGAAAGGGGTGAGGCAGCAGCTCCCATCCTTCCTTCCCAGCCCCACCTCAGGCCCAGTCAGCTCCTGGCCAGTGCACTTACCGAAGCTGTGACCCATGATGGAGAACCGATTCCATTTCAAGGCTGGAAATGCAAGGAGCCAGAAGGTCTGACCGGGTACAGGCTCAGCCCGCCCACTCGCTGCCAGTCCCTGGGCTCAAGAAATCGCTTCCCAGCCTCTGGGGTGTCCACCCAGGAGACTAGCTTGGGGGACCCACTGGAGGAAGCAAGCTCTTCTCCAACTTGCCCAAGGAGTCCCATGAATTGCTGGCAGATCTAAGGCCAGAGCCCAGGCACCCACTCCCAGGCTGCTTCCTACCCCCACACCAATGATAAGAGGGCGTATCCCAGAGCAACCCCTGCAAAAGACACTCTGTTTCTTACCTGCCGAAACCCTTCGGATCTCATTCACAAAGTTCTGGTGGTAATATGGGACACCTGGGCTGTAATGGGATGAGAGCCCATGACCCCCGAAATCCAGGGCAACGTAATACAAGTCTGAAACAGAGAGAAGCAGGTTGGAGGGTAGGAACAGGTGTCTACCCCAGCTGTCTCACGGTTTTCCTTGTTCCCGTGCAGACCTCCCCCCTCGCCCTCTTGGCTCCCAGCCTCACCTTGCGGGAGAAGAGGGATGAGTCTGTCGAAGGAATTGGCATTGTCCAGCCAGCCATGTAGGCAGAGAACTGGGGAGCCCTTCAGGGAGCCCCAGGCTTTGGCTGCGATGTGGCCCCAGGGCACAGCCAGCCTCAGCTCTGAGATCAGACCTGAAAGACAGAGCCAGACTTTCATTCCTTCAATCGTTCATCCATGAAACTGGTGCTCCCTGAGCTCCTTATTTCTGTCTGATGGGCTTGAGTCGGGGGCTCATGCCCAGAGGGACTCAGACCCTTAGCTGCCCCCAGAGGGTATTAGGGAGAGAGTGCCAGACATGGGTGAGGGGACTCCCAGAGGAGGGAAAGATAAGCTGGGCTGGAAAAACCTGGGACAGCCCTCACAGCATGCACCCCATTTAAGCTGAGGCAGAACCTTCTAGAATGTGCTGGTAGCGGGGGTGGGGGGTGTGTTGGCCAGGCCTGGACCCTACCACTTGCTGACTAGGTGACCTTGGGCAAGTTACAAAAACTTGTTTCCTTTCCCGTAAAACCGGAGTAAAAAAGGCTTAGTTTCCTAAGCCTTTCCTAGGGTCCGGAGGGATGCCGCACCCTCACTCCCCAGAGCAGGAAACTGAGGCACTGGGAGCTGCACTACACGCCCAAGGTCACACTGGGGGACAGGGACAGAGCGAAAATTTATGGCAGGCGGAGGGACTGCAGGGCTGAAGACCTCCACGCCCCGACACCCACGCGCACGCTCGGCTAATTCGGGTTCCCAGAACCCTGCGAGGCCACGTGCGGCCGTGTCTCGGGGGCCCCCCAGTTCCTGGCCGGTCGCGCTCTCACGCCCCGGGACTGCTCAGGAAAGAGCTGCTACACCCAGGAGGGCGACGCGGTCGGCGAACCCTCCCCTCCAGCCCGTCCTCCTCCACGATCCCAAACAGGTGGAAAGGCTCGCGCGAGGCCTCTCCGTCCCACTCGAGTCTAAGGGGCCCTGGTAGGGCGTTTTCACCCATCGCTCTGGTCCGGCGAATGTGCGGCCTTCACTCCAGCCCAAATAGGTCGCGGGAGGGGAGGGACGTCCACAGTTCCGAGCCCCGCCCCTAGGCCACTCCGCCCCATCCCAGGAAGGCCACGCCCAATCAGATCCCGCCCCCATTCACCAGGCCCCGCCTTCGCACCGCTCTGGCCGCGCCCACCGGCTGGAGCACATCAGGGCCCCCGCCCCCGGACAGTCCCGACAGCTGCCACCGAGCCCGCGTGGGATCAGGAGCTGCTGGCCCAGGCCCAGGGAGCAGCCATAGCAAGTTAGGCCTATGGGGGCTCGCTGGCCGGCGCCGCAGGGTTGAAGGCTACTCTTTGTTTAGTGGCTTACTGGCCCCTTTGACGGACGGACAGCCTGTATCCACTGTGTCCCTACCGTGTCCTGGGGTCCTCAGCAGAGCCTGGTACAAGCTAGTCTAACAGTTGTACAGGTGAGCAAATGAGTGTGTAAACTGGGGACGTGGAGGAACCCTCCAGGTGAGGGATTACAAATATCTGCCCGGAAAGGATCAGAAACCCCAGCTTCTGAAGAGGACGTTTGGGGTGAGCAGGTTCATGCACTAAATCCCGCAGTGAAGGAGGGAAAGTGCACCCTTTGAGTCAGAAAGTGGCAAGTCTAAGACAAGTAAGAACAAGTACTTGTAGTGAATTCTTAGGACTTTATTCTGCCTTGGCGTGCGTTTTCATCAGGCATCCAGATCCTGGGGTGACAGTGGAATTGACCATGTGAGTTGGTCTCTTTCCTCTTCTGCCCTGCGGACCCATTGCCACACCCTCTTCACTGATGACACATTTACGCTATCAGATAACATTTTGATCAGATCTAAACTTTTTCTAGCAGAAGCAGGGCTCAGTCACCCCTTGGCCCAGTTTTCAGGCCAAACCATGCCCAAAATGACTGCAGAGATAAGAATTTAGAGGCCTGACAGGGTGCTATTAGGCTCAGGCCTGTGATCCAAGTCAGAAAGATTGCTTGAGGCCAGGAGTTCGAGACCAGGCTGGGCAACATAGTGTGACCTACCCCCTCCCCCACCACTGCACCATACCACAACCACTTAAAAAGAAAAGATCTAGAAAATCCCCCAGTCTCAGTCCCCGCCCCCCCAAAAAAAGAAAAAAAAAGAACAGAACACTTAGAGGCATCGCTCCCGCCTAGCGGACTGCTCTCCTGCTACTTCCTTTAAAAAGAACAGTCAGGCATTTGGCCAGCAAACGTGCTGACCCATGACCTCTTCCCTTCTATCTACTGTTACTTGCCACGCGCTCTCATCTCTCTCTGCCTGACTCTTCACTCCTGCCTCCTGTGCCCAGGGACGAGGACTTTCCTCCAGTTTCATTACACCTTCCTTGCCCAGGTTCTCTATCAAAAATCTTTGGACTTGCTCCCTGCTGGAGTGGTGGGTTGAATTTGCACTTTTCATCAGAACAACCAGGGGCTGCCCTAGGCCAGGCTCCCAGTGCCAGAGCCAGGTGGTCAGGCAACATGAACTGGACACGGACGTTTCCAATGTCAGGGACCTCTGGTCACTGGTCAGACACTAGGCGTGAGGTCGTCCACTAGGTACAAGAAGTGTCCCGTGAGAGGTGTGTTGGGAGCAGGCCCTAAGCTGGCATAAACAGGCCTTAAAGATACAGGCTATCAGTAGCACTGAGATACTCGTGATGGCAGAGACGCACATTGCTAGAGGTAGTTGGTTTACTAGAGCGAGGGAAAGAAATACCTGGCCAGCTCTTGGGCAGAAGACTGCTTGGGGTGCTTCTGAACCACAAACAATAGCAGGTTCTTGCCTTAACGACATGCTCCAGATGCAGTGGATAAACACCGGAGCCTGTTTCTTTCCACTCGTATAGAATGCTTTGTTCCCTGCGAAGAATGCTTTTAGTTAAATGATTATCTTTTTTTTTTTTTTTTTTTGAGACAGAATTTCGCTGTTGTTACCCAGACTGGAGTGCAATGGCATGATCTCGGCTCACCGCAACCTCCGCCTTCTGGGTTCAGGCAATTCTCCTGCCTCAGCCTCCCAAGTAGCTGGGACTACAGGCACACACCCCCATGCCCAGCTAATTTTTGTATTTTTAGTAGAGACAGGGTTTCACCTTGTTGACCAGGATAGTCTCGATCTCTTGACCTCGTGATCCACCCGCTTCGGCCTCCCAAAGTGCTGGGATTATAGGCGTGAGCCACCGCGCCCGGCCTAAATGATGATTATCACTTGTTTGCTGTCAATAAATGTGTGAGGCTCTCAGCTGGGAATGCTGAGGTTCCCCTGTCGTCCCACACCTTTATCATCCAGCCCAAAATGTCATGTCCCCCACCTTTTCGCTCTCTATCTCTGTGTCTGTTTCTTCATTCCTTCAGCGCCGCCTGGGTTGGGGTCCCCGCGACCGAGCTGGTCTCAGCAGAGGTGCACTGCTCACACCCACATCTAGCCCCTACTTTTCCGCCGAGGGCAGGTTGCTGGCTGCTCTGGTACTGGAACCCCAGTCTAGCTGGGGGCTCTCAAAATGGGACTTCCTACCATTTGCTGGTTGGAAGCCCTGGGAGCAAGTGGGATGTGGCCCCTCTGGCTCCAGCCCAGCAGTGCCAGTGAAGGAGCCACAGCCCAGCACGTGGCGGTGGGGAGAGATCCCTACAGCCAGTTCTCCTGGTTTGGGACAGGGGAGCCAACCCTTGGGCTGCAGAAATTAAGAGGCTTCCTGGGGGAGCTGCAATTCAGGGGAGGTTGTCAGTGGCTAGAAAAAGTGGGCAAGGTGGGCGATGGACTGTGGTGGCACTAGGTTGTGATGGGCCTTGCCTGTGAGGCCGAGGAGCTTGTCCCGTATTCTGAGTGGCAGGGAGGCTAGGAGCTGGGAGATGAAAAGACCGCTTCTAGAAAGGTCCATGCATGGTGCTGTCCATCAGCTCAGTAAACAGTTTGGCTTTCCATGGGCCTGGACCCCTTTCCAAGTTATGCAAGGGGTCAAAAATCCTGGGGTGACAGGCATTGAGGATATGACCCCTGTGAGGTGGGTCAGTCTCTTTCCTCTTCTGTCCTGAGGACCCCTTGCCACCTTCTCTTCACTGACGATGCCACATTTATGCCTGGCCACCAGGCTCCAGCCTGACCCCAGCATGGGGACCTGACCTCCAGCACCTTCACCTCAACAGCCCCTTCAACACAGACACCCCCTCCTCTGCCCAGAAGATTCATGGCCTCAGTCCCCTGACTTCCACCCCCAGCCTCAGCCTCACACTCACATCCTATTATCACACTTTCCCCATCTGCCTCTCACTTCCATTCCTGGACCCCACCCTCCCTCGACCCCCTGGGCTGGCTCATCACCCCAACAAGACAAGAGAAATCACCTCGCACCACACCACCAGCTCCCCCCTGGAGCTCAGCTGGAGCTCTGATCTTACTTGGCTGTGTGGAAGTCTCTGGTGCTTCTCCCTGCCTGCTGGAGGGAGGTGGATTCCTGCCCTGGCATTCAAAGCCTTCTTTGGGGTCCCCTCTCTCCTCGATAACACATGCAAGTCCAGGAATGTTGGGCTGCCCATTCTCTGCAGCTGCCCCCAACGTTCACACCTCTGTATCTTTGTTATGCTGTTTCTTCAGCCCAGAACACAGCTCCCTTTTGCCTTTACCCTTGAAATCCTCCCTTCTTTTAAGGCATGGTTCAGTCACCTGCTCCAGGAAGCCCAGGTGAAATGCATCACCCCATCTCCTTCACTGCTGCTGCGACCTGCCTTTCACCTCTACAAGGTGTTGCAGTCCCTGGGGTCTAGGCTGCCTCTCTGGCTGGATGTCTGCCCTAAAAAGTGGGAAAAGGTCTCATTCAACTTTGATTTCCTCCATAGCATCTACCAGAGGACCATGCACATAGTAAGGGCTCAGTAAATGTCTGCAGATTCAATTGGCGGAGAGCTGCTAAGAACATTCTCTCCCGGTTTCCCTAAAAGGGCTCACAAAAGCAGCAGCAAGCAGGGTGGGGGAGGGCGTGGATTCTGGCGGGAGGTTGTTTTTTTTTTGAGACGAAGTTTCGCTCTTGTTACCCAAGCTGGAGTGCAATGGCGTGATCTCGGCTCACCGCAACCTCCGCCTCCTGGGTTCAAGCAATTCTCCTGCCTCAGCCTCCCGAGTAGCTGGGATTACAGGCACGCACCACCACGCCCAGCCGAATTTTTGTATTTTTAGTAGAAACAGGGTTTCACCATCTTGGCCAGGCTGGTCTCGAACTCCTGACCTCAGGAGATCCGGCTGTCTCCAAAGTGTGGGATTATAGGCATTAGCCACTGCACTCGGTCAAAATGTACAGTCCTTACTGAGCGTGTTTTGTTCTCTTCCAACTTGCTTTACCTTTTCTTTCGTTTTGAGAGACACGGTCTTGCTTTGTCACCCAGGCTGGAGAGCAGTGGCGCAATCATTGCTCACTGTAGCCTTGAACTCGTCGGTTCAAGCGATCCTCTCATCTCAATCTCCCAAGTAGCTAGGGCTACAGGAATGGACCACGATGCCCAGCTAACCTTTAAAGATTTTTTTTTGTAGAGATGGGGATCTGACTGTGTTGCCCAGGCTGGTCTCCAACTCCTGGCTTCAAGCAATCCTCCTCCTGCCTCAGTCTCCCAAAGCTAATTAAAAAAAGAAATTTTGGCTGGGTGGTGGCTCACGCCTGTCATCTCAGCACTTCGGAAGGCCAAGGCAGGTGGATCCCCTGAGGCCGGGAGTTCAAGACCAGCCTGATCAACATGGAGACACCCTGTCTCTACTAACAATGCAAAATTAGCCAGGCGTGGTGGCACATGCCTGTAATCCCAGCAACAAGAGTGAAACTGCATCTCAGAAAAAAAAAAGAAAGAAATTTTGTTTCCAAATCATATATTTATCTAAAACATTTTATATTCAGTTTTCTTTCTTTCATTTTCGACAGAGTCTTGCTCTGTCGCCCAGGCTGGAGTGCAATGGTGTGATCTCATCTCACTGCAATCTCTGGCTCCTGGGCTCAAGCAGTTCTGCCTCAGCC